TTAATATTTGGCATGCTAGACTTTGTCACGTTAATAAGTGAATTATGTATAATGCAAGCAACTTAGGCCTGATCCCTAAACTAAATGTCAATGATTCAAATAAATGTGAATATTGTACTCAAGCTAAGATAATTAAGACATCACATAAATCAACTCTAAGAGAATCTGATCCCCTAGATCTTATACACTCTGATATATGTGAATTAGATGGAACTTTGACTAGGAACAATAAACGTTATTTTATCACCTTTATTGATGATTGTTCTGATTATACTTATGTATACTTAATGAAGAATAAAAGTGAAGCACTTGATATGTTTAAGTTGCATGTAATCGAAATTGAGAATCAACTTAGTAAGAAGATCAAGAGACTTCGTAGTGATAGGGGAACTGAATATGACTCTGGTCTATTTAATGACTTTTATAAAGAACATGGAATTATACATGAAACGACTGCTCCATATTCTCCTGAAATGAATGGTAAAGCAGAAAGAAAGAATAGAACTCTTACTGAACTTGTTGTTGCAATTATGATGAATTCTGGTGCTGCACCTCACTGGTGGGGGGAAATTTTATTGACTGTTTGCTATGTCCTGAATAGAATCCCCAAGTGAAAATGTAAGATCTCTCCTTACGAGATATTAAAGAAAAGACAACCAAACTTGTCTTATTTGAGAACTTGGGGCTCTCTGGCTTATGTCAGAATTCCGGATCCGAAGCGAGTTAAACTCGCTAGTAGAGCACATGAATGTGTTTTCATTGGATATGCAGCAAACAGTAAAGCATATAGGTTTTATGACCTGATAGAAAAAGTGATCATAGAATCAAATGATGCTGAATTCTATGAAGACAAATTTCCCTTCAAATTGAGAAATAGTGGGGGCACACAATCGAGTCACACTCCTGTGATAAGAAGCACAGAATGCAACGACAATATAGAAACAGAACTTCGACGAAGTAAACGAGTAAGAGTCACTAAAGACTATGGGCCTGACTATGCGGCTTATAATGTAGAAGAAGATCCAATGAATCTTCAAGAAGCCTTGTCTTCTCTGGATGCTGATTTATGGCAAGAGGCTATCAATGATGAGATAGAATCTCTAGAATCCAATAAGACCTGGAACTTAGTAGACTTGCCTCCTGGTTGCAAACCAATTGGTTGTAAATGGGTTTTGAAAAGAAAACTAAAACCTGATGGAACTATTGATAAATACAAGGCTCGCCTTGTTGCCAAGGGTTTTAGACAAAGAGAAAATATAGATTTCTTCGACACCTTTTCTCCTGTCACTAGAATTACATCTATTAGGGTACTTATTTCAATAACTGCTATTTATAACTTAATAGTACACCAAATGGATGTAAAAACAACTTTTTTAAATGGTGACTTAGAAGAAGAAATCTATATGGAACAACCGGAAGGGTTTGTAATCTATGGACAAGAAAACAAGGTCTGTAGGTTAAATAAGTTGTTGTATGGACTAAAACAAGCTCCTAAGCAATGACATGAAAAATTTGATAACTTAATGATATCAAGTGGGTACAAAGTGAATGAAAGTGACAAATGCATTTACTATAAATCTGAGAATCGCATTTGCACTATCATATGTCTTTATGTTGACGATCTACTCATATTTGGATCTAACATTCAGACCATTAATGATGTGAAATCATTGTTGTGCAACAACTTTGATATGAAAGATCTCGGAGAAGCAAATGTGATCCTTGGCATCAAGATCACGAGATCTGAACAAGGAATTTCTTTGGATCAATCACATTATGTGGAGAAGATCTTAAAGAAATATAATTACTTTAAATGTAAACCTGCATGCACACCATATGATCCAAGTGTGAAACTATTTAAGAACATTGGAGAAAGTGTCAGACAATCAGAATATGCGAGCATCATTGGCAGTCTTAGGTATGCCACTGATTGTACTAGACCCGACATTGCATATGTCGTAGGATTGTTATGCAGGTTTACGAGTAGACCGAGTAAAGAGCACTGGAAAGCTATTGAACGAGTCATGAGGTACCTCAAAAGGACCATGGATCTCGGTCTACATTATCAGAAGTTTCATGCTGTACTAGAAGGGTACAATGATGCAGATTGGAATACTTTGTCAGATGATTCCAAAGCTACTAGTGGCTATATATTTAGCATAGCTGGAGGAGCTGTATCTTGGAAATCAAAGAAACAAACTATTTTAGCTCAGTCCACAATGGAGTCTGAGATGATAGCACTAGCCACAGCTAGTGAAGAAGCAAGTTGGTTGAGATGCTTGCTAGCTGAGATCCCTTTATGGGAAAAACCTATGCCAGCTGTGTTGATCCACTGCGATAGTACCGCGTCTATTGCAAAAATTGAGAACCGTTATTGTAATGGTAAAAGACGTCAAATAAGAAGGAAGCACAGCACTGTTAGAGACTGTATCTCTAAAGGAGCTGTAAGAGTGGATCATATACGCACTGATGAAAATTTAGCAGATCCTTTGACGAAAGGATTAGCTAGAGAGAAAGTCCATAATACATCCAAAAGGATGAGACTAATGCCTATAAAGAAATCAGTTGCTCATAATGGTAACCCGACCTAGATGACTGGAGATCTCAAGAAATAGGTTCAATGGGTAATAACAAGTTATGAGTAATATGAGATGATCATGCAAGTAAAGCATGAATCCTGAAGTAATAAGAGGATGAGATAATAGAAACTCTTAATGAGATCTATACTCTGTATGAGGGAGTACCTAGGCTACAGGAGTACTCTTGATAGACTCACCTATGTGATTGTGGAACTTAGGCCGGTTCCTATGAAATTACGAGGCAGGGTTCCTAGAACCTTCACTAAACCGGGATATACGTGCAGGGCCATTAAAGCACGGGCTATTAGAATACACCTTAAGAAAAGGTTGTGTGCGGGTCTGATGTCTGAGATAGAGTTCAAGATAATAGTGTCACTCTTGTTGAATCAGAATCCTACTTGCTACGCAAAGGTTCAAGTCGTAGACACCTTTGCTTATGCACAATCTTAGAAACGTTTGACGTACTTCTAAAAATCACCTTTTAAATTCAAGTGGGGGATTGTTGGAAATCTTGGTATGATGTAAGCTTGGAGTGGGAGTTGGAATATTTTATTGACATTAAATGGGCAATAAATGAGCACAAGTAAGAACTAGTATGGAAGTGAATTTGAAAAGATTCATTTTAGTCCCACATAGGAGGGATTATAAATACTAGTAGTGTATATATATTCCAACTTGGACAATTGGGTTGGGCCCCAAGGGGCACCCCAATTTTGTAAAGGAGTGAGGACACACCCATAAGTCATCTAGACACACGCGCGCGCCGCCGCCGCCGTTCGTTCGTCCGACCGGCCGGTCCGGTCCGGTCTAGATGAATTAATCTTTTTTGAACCGAATTAGTGGAAATTAATTAATATTAATATGTCCTGCACAAAAGACCAAGTCTTAACCTAATTATTGACTGGTTTTTCTTGCCCTCCAAGAGTCCGTGAGACTTGCTGACCAAGTAAAATAACGGCCACCTTTGATTGGGCCAATTCCACCTCTCCCACGATTCTCTCCCACTAGACCTGTTCCATTCAGTTGGACCTTTTCACTTATAAATTGAGTTGTTTCGGTTCATTTGGGCAGTTCTAGAATTCACTACTACAATTCTCTCTTCTCTCTCACTACTCCCTTCATCTATATTTTTCTTCTCTTATTTTCGATTGGATCACTTCATATCCAGATACTAAGACTGATTAACTACCATCCGAATGTGTCATTTTACGAACGACTAATTATAGTGCAAATAATTATCGTACTTTGAACGGGCTGTTTTATCTTGGAGGCGTCGTCGAAACTCGACTGCTTTGCATTTATACGACGAAACGTCTTAAAGAACGCGACCTAGTACTCGACTCGTCCCGATAGTTTTTCTTTGTGCCATTTTTTTTAATTCCGGTTACTACACAAAGTCCATCGTGAAGATGAGAGTCCTTCACTGTATAGAAGCTACATCATCAATAGTGTTGTCGGGTAGAATTTCTGGTTCCAAGGGATTAGATTGCTTTCAACAATGACAGGATAGAAATCAATTTATGCTTCCACTGAAAGTACGTGTTTGTTTATTAGGTTGTTTTTGGCAATTCTCTATTCCATGATCGTCGCCTTAACAGTAATCAGAGCATCATCATGGTAGCCGAAATCGTCGTGGACAAATTAACACCATCTTCATAGATCTCTTCTCACAGGAATATCTTGGCGTTAGAATGTGTAATCTCTTCTTTAAAAGTAGCGCCTCAAATTTAAACACTTACACATATATTTTATAACTGCTGCACAATTATCATATGCACTTTTACTTACTGATGTGCATTTACTTGACGTAATAACATTTTTGAAGTTATAACAATTGGAAAGAGTAACAGGTATAATTTGAGGTTGGCAAGTAAAAATGCTCCCACAAAAATCTCAAACAAAAAAGACTCTAAATTTCCGATTCTTCAAATGTGAGGTGGATATATCAATACTCTTTTTACATTTGATTTTTGGTCCATTGTAAAGAATATTTGCCATCTCTCTCATAGTTACTAGTCTAGCAAAACTAAAACGAATATAAATACATATCTTTAACATGAAAAATCTAGAGACAGGTAAACAGTTTTGAAAATCCCTTTTTTTTTTATTGATTTAAGAAATCTCCTATTCTCAATATGTATGAGAATTTTAATTTAATGGACCCTTAAAAGCAGCTCAAAATCAACTAATAAAATAAAAAAATTAGCATTAATCAACTCTAATATTAGGATTTCTCCTCATCCTCTTACTTTTTAAACAAACTTTTACCCCATTTTCTCCTAATCACAAATTATCTTCTCTCATGCATAGTACCTACTTCCATTCTCCATGCAAACTCCGCCCTCTCTTCCTTTCTAATACCATTCACCTGTTTCAAAACCACCTCTTTCCTCCTTATCTCTTGCCGCTCCCCATACTTTCATGGAGGAGCGGGCCTCGCCGCTGCCGCCGCCTCCACAAGATTCTAATTCTATACCTCAATTACCTGACATTGGCCATGGCACCTATGTTGTCCAAGTCCCTAAGGACCAAATCTACCGCATTCCACCACCCGAAAATGCTCGTATTGCCGAGCTTCATCGAAAACCTCACACCAAGAAGACAAACCGGACATGTTGTTGGTGTATTGTATTCATCGTGGTCTTCCTCGCTATTGTCATATTGGTTGGAGGTTTTTTAAGTGGTCTTTTTCCCATTGTACTTACACCAAAGGATCCAAAGTTTTCAATCCAACACTTTCTTTTACAAAGCAAACCACGCTCACAATACAAAATCACTATACAAGCCCAAAATCCAAATACAAACGTGGACATTTTATATAAAGGAGGAGAGGTTTCCCTCTCGTTAAAAAGGCAAAAAATTGCTTCCGGTGATTATCCAACATTCTCTCAAGCCAATCAAAATTCAACAAATTTTGAAGTAACTTTAAAAAGCTCAACAACAAAATTGCCTAAGGAAGTGGAAGAAAGCAAGAAAAATGTTAAAACGAAAGTGCGTGTTACATTTTCTTTATCGATTAATGTCCAAACCCAAATGAAAATGAGTTTGCTTCAAAGCGGGTCAAGGACATACGACGTTAATTGTCAAGTAAGCGTAGATTCATTGGCCAAAACTACAAAGGTAGTTTCTCAACAATGTGAAACTAAATAGCCCTAGTTGTTGTAGCAAATTAAGATAGCTTCCTCGTCATCTTCTTGATGACTTGAGATTCCGGTGTTGTAAATTTTGAAACCCTTCATTCTTTTTCATAATGATTTGGTTAATCTTGATACATCATTCTTTTTATGATAAATATTTATAGTTAGACAACTATTTATGTTTTCATTTATGATCTTTTAGTTTTTGCAGTATATAGTAGTATTTCACATATGAATTAAATTTATATTTGATAAATTAAACAATTGGACTAAACTAGTAAATGAGTTTTGGCTAAGGAATGAAGGTTACGAGAATATCGAATTCTATTTTTGATTGAAATATAAATTTGCTTCATTTTAGTCTTGCTCTATTCCATTTACTTCATCTAATTATTAGATTTGCATAAGTGGTTAAAATAAATTTTATAGTTGTAATTAAATCGAGAAAATTAAGTGACGAATAAAATGAAAGAAAAAATGAAACGTTTCATTATATATTTATGTTATTGCTATTTCCTTCTTTTTTTTTCTTCCCTCCCCCATGCCACCACTAGGCGAGATGACCACCAACATTGTTGGCAGAGCCGAGCCGGCACAATCAAATTGAAGATTCCGTTTTAATTTAAAAATAAGTTTAAATTAAAAAAATACAATTAAAATAATTAAAAATGATACATCAAAAATATAATTATATATTAATAAAAAAGATATAACTATAATTGATCTCACCGGATCAGACTTGAACCGTCACGGTTGGCTCCGAGCTGAAAGTTTGAACGAGGTGGGGGTACCTGCAAGACACTCCGATGCTGAAGTAAGTAAGAGCACGAGCAGACAGTAGTAAGAGTATGGGTAGAATGATGAATACCTGACCCTCTGGAAACAGAGGGTATTTATAGCCCCCAGCGCTGGGCCAAGGTTCCTTCATTGGGTCGGGCAGGTTTGGCCCAATGGAGGAACTGCCAGGTTCTACGTGCGTAGTGGGGACCCGCACGTGGTCCCCTCCCTGGATGTTCTGCGTAAAGTGCGGATGGACAGAGACGCGGTCTTTTCGGAGTCCCGTTGAGAGTGCAGTGGACTGAGTCTGCCCTAGGACGGGTGCTCGAGGTGATGTCGAGCTGGACAGTAGGAGGTCGAGCAAGTAGCCCCAGGGAACACGTCGGGCACGACTGTGATCCTTTGATCGGCGTGGCCCCCAGCAAGTCCGTTTGGATTGGGCTTTCTCAATGCTATTGGGCCAGTCGGGCCCAGTCCAGAACAGGAGCCCCCCAAGTCGTGGTTCCTTGGGTTAGGAGCCATGGCTTGATCTTAGGTTGCTTCCGTTTCGGGGCCTCGTGCCCGGGTCAGAGACGCAGCTCCTCGCGGGGTGCTACTCGCGGAGAGTGATCGGGGATTCCTCAACGGCACGCGTCTGTCGAGCGCGCGAGGTATCTTTTGGGAACTGTGCCGCCACCCTATGAGGATAGGGTCATTATTGCCTAGGGAGCCGTGCGTCGAGGAGAGAAACTCTGTGGTTGCCCGAGGTGACGTTTGGTATTCCACGTCATCACTATAAATAGGATCCTTGGGCCTCATAACGCGTTACTACTCTTCGCGCTTCTGCTGCTGTTGTTCTTCCAGATTCTCATAGCATCGCCGCGATCTCCGTCACAGATTCCTTTCCTCCGTTGCCGAATCCACTCCTTGATTCCAAGTAAGTGACTTATCTTCTCTGTTTTTCTGTTGTGATGCATGATTTTCATCGTTTTAGACGTTTTTAGAGGCTGTGCGCGTGGGACTAGCCCGGTAAATTCATGTTTAGCTCGACAAATTCATGCTTAGGACCGGCAAACACATGCTCGTGGCCGGTAGATACATGGTTTAGGTTATAATCTGCAGTGCTTCCCGGGGTCTTCATGATCCAGGGCGCCTAATTCATGATCGTGTCCGGTATGCTCATGGCTCTGGCTGTAGACTTTATGATGTTGCTCGCCATATTCATACCCCGGGTCGGCGTGTTCGTGAGCGACCGCGTTGTCGGTTTGTCTAGGCGGCTTGGAGAAGGACCCGTCGAGTTATCGGGAAGTCGGGGAGGCGACTGCTATTTTGTTTCAAACCAACTTTGCGGTCAAGCGTGGAGCGACGTGGTTTGTCGCGCACTCCATCTAGTCCGTTACGTCGAGCATATGGTTTCGTGCCCAATTGACTGGTTTCCCGTGCTCTGCAGGTAACCATGGCGGACGAGTTGTGCTCTTCTGGACGCCCCGAAAGGGAAGAACAAAGTGCCGATGAGACTGCGAGTTTGATCGACACCGTAGAAGATCCTCTGTTGGACTGGGTGGGCGCCGAGCCTAGAGGGATCGCCTCGGTCTATAGTCGGCGCAACCAAAAGCCATACGCTGTCCTCGAGGCGGGCCACGGCCATCCCGATTTACAAAAGAATTTTGTCGTTACTAGACCGACCTTCGCTGCTCGGATTTGCTCGGTGTTCCCCGAGTACAGTTTCCCCATGTACGAGATTGCATTCAAAGACCTTGGGTTGCAGCTGCCCTTCAGCGACTTTCAGGCGGGGGTCTTCGCCCATTTGGGGCTGGCCCCGTCGCAGCTACACCCGAACTCGCTCGCCTTTATCCGGGCGTTTGAGCTGACCTGTCGCTTCCTGAGGGTTGGGGCGACTATACCTCTCTTCTTCAGAATCTTTCATCTGCAGCGCCAGTCCCGGGGAGGGAAGCACAGTTGGGTCTCCCTGAAGCAGTCGAAGAGACTTTTCAGGATGTATATGGACTCCGTGCGGGGTTTTAAAGACAAGTGGTATGTCGTGAGGCCGGTTACCACTGCCGCTTTAGAGTCCCTATACGAGGAGGAAGCGCCGATAAGTGACGATGACGGGGAGGCGCTTTTAGACAACGACGGATATCCAGTGTTGGGACGCACAGCCAAGTTCCCCGTGCATTGGATTTCTAGGCATTATGAACACGGTACTGGGTATTATCATACTTCTGCGGACGACATGGGTTCCGAGGATGAGAAGGCGTACGACACTCTTTGTCGGTACGTTGATAGCTTCCACCCCGCCCGATAGTCCACGAGGGAGGGGGAAGATGTCTTGGACGAGGAGGGTTATCCGACATTCGAGGCCCGACCGATCGATACTAAGGCACTCGTGGAGTGCCAGTCATTCGGGCAGGCTGCTCGTCTGCTAGGTCGTTTATTGTTTGAATTTGCTTGCCATTTGTCTGCTTATTTGCTCGACACTAACCCAATTTTTTGTTTTACTGTGCAGGTTCGATGGCCGGGCGACGGGAGAGACTCTTGAAGCTGTCTTGTGACCAGAGGCGGGGCAAGAGGATGGTGAAGGCTCCCCAAGCAACAAGGATGGGCCCGCCGCATAGTCCGGGCGCTCCTCATGTGGTAAGGGTGGATTCGTCGACTAGCTCGGGGGCTGCTTCGGAAGAGACCCCAGAGGTCCAGGAGGTCGAGCCACATGTCGACCTGATACCGAGAAAAAGGAACCGGGTGGAAAGTGGGCCAGCGGTCGGCGAGGATTCCAGCGCCGTAAGGTCCTTCGGGTTGCCCCCTTGCTTCAAAGAGGAGGGTTTCTTCGAGGGGTTCCCTTTGTCCGTGACTGCCGATGAGGCTGAGGTTATCAGGAGGATGAGTAAGGAGGACCGGAGGAGGCATTTGGCCGCCAATATGGCCAGGCTGGTGAAAATGGTTGAAATGGTCGTTGTGCTGTCCGAGGGAGGGGAGGATCCTGTCCGCATTGAAGAATTGGAACAGGAGAAAGCGGCCCTCACTTCGAGCTCGCGAAAGTTAAGGACTGCCCTGGAACGCTCCGAGGAGATGTTCCGCGAGCAGGCATCGCTGTTGGCTGCCGAGAGAGAGATGCTGACTCTGGAGAAGGAAAACTCGGGGAAGCTAGCCGAGGAGAGAGAGCTTCTCCGTGCAGATCGGGAGCGTCTGGAGACCGACGTCGGGCGCCTAACCCAACAGATCGAGGATCTGAAGGTCGCCATGCTTCCTGCCGAGGATGAGCCGGAGGATATAGCCGCTTTGAGGAGTCGATCGGAGCTGGTCGCCCACATCCGGCTCCTCGAAGCGGATTGTGTCGGCGCTATGGAGGAGGGATTCGACTTCGCGGTCAGCCAACTTTCCTTGCTGAACCCCAGTTTGATCACTGAAGGGACGGGTTACATGTCTCAAATCGTGGATGGCGCGATCGTACCCCCGCCCGACTCTCCCGTTGTCGGTGATGATGGTTCCGGGGAAACTTGAATTGTAAGATGACGGGCCTGCGTGCCTCGCTGATATTTGTTTTGGGCATGTGTGCCTGTTCGTATTTTTTGGGCCTGCGTGCCCGTTGGTTGTACTTCATGAACATCGCCGACCTTCTTGGTCGGTTTATACTTATTTGCTTTGTTGCCTTCAGGCGTTTTTTGAATGAATGCTGTTTCAAATTTGATTGTTTGCCCGTGCTTGATTTTTATATTTTTGCATAAAAATTAGCCTAAGTTATGGGCCCGAGGAGTGCCCGTAAGTGGCTGTGACTTAGCTGGCGAATTTTCCCGCCTTTTGTTTGTATATGTGCCCGGCCTTTTCTCGATGGCCAGAGTCATCTAAGTGTTGTGCTCGAGGGGAGAGACTCCTTTTTTACCCTTTTAGATGGCCCGTCATTCTTGACGATTTGTCGGGCAGATGGAGCAGAGTCGCTCAGTCGGGCGCGAGGCCTGGTAGGGACTATTTGCCCTTGGTGTGAACTGCCCATCGCGAGCTGGGTGTTCTTCCTTACAGGTACTACGACGGTGGAGCTCGGTGTGGTTGTCCACGTCGGGCACTATCGATTGGTCTCGTTTGATCCGCGATGCTGTGCGATTTAGCCGTAGGTCGGGCTTGTACCTCGGCCTCTCTACGGAGTCGGACGTTTTTTCCTCGTTGACCGAGCGCGGGTGCCGATGGTCGAGGGTCCTAGGTGTTGGTAGTTTTTAAATATAGTATTGTTTTAGCTTAGCAGCGTTCCAGGGTCGTGGTAATGGC